TGATAACAAAGTTAGAAACTAATGAGAGATGCTGCAAAACACTGCATAATATGTAAAGCTGAAATCAGGTAATCACAACTAAGTTACTAACCCACACAAACGTGGAAAATGGCTGTCAAAAGTGGTAAGAGGTAACTAAATCCAGTCTTTGCCAAAAGTTTAGTCTGTGTGTTGCTTATCAAAACCTCCAAATCCTATTCCTGTGTTATTAAACTTGTATGTCACTGGCTTAGCTCGTGGTGTTGGTAAATAAGGGCAATTAAAAAATTTCACCCAGAAAGAGCTTGTACAGTATTGTACTGTACTTGTAACCCTAATTCACATTAAAAATGGAAAGCTGTTTTATCTTAAGAGCAGAAAATGGTTGAAAAAATATTAAATAAATTCTAGTACAGTAACAATAACTTAGCTCATGGCAGCTGTCCTCTGTTGCCCACTGTGGGAGAAAAGGCTCATCCTTTCTTTCACTGAATTTTTTCTTTTAATAAATTCATACTTAAATATATTTGGCAACCCACCACCTGTTCCTCAGTGATGTTTTTTTTCTATTTCTCTTTCATTTTTTAAGCCCTAAACTATCCTTTAAATTTGATATTTCTCCTGTCTCTCACTGGATCCCTTAACTTACTGGAAAGCTTTCATTCACTTCACACACTCTGAAATCTTTGTACAAGTGGTTTCTGTTTCACACGAATTAATGAAATCAAATGACAGTCCTCACTACTGTGTATACTTGTACTTAAAGTAATGTAGTAATTCTGACATGAATGAATATAGATGGCTCTCAAAATACAGACATGTTTGTTATAACCAATTTGCACTGATAATGAGGGAAAAGGTGTACTCATGTGAAACAGGGTTGATACATTCATGTCTACAATCATTACTATACTTGAGTTCCAATTAAGAAGATTGAAATATATGCACGAAGCCTCTAAGGAAACCAAATTTTCTTGAGAAACTGGATCTATTTTGTCATCTTCCTTATTTTTCATACAATTTCCTCATCCATAATAAAGGCCTCAATGATGTGTACAACCAACTCTATTGTTACATTTAGAAATCAAAACTAAATGCTTTGTTCTCGTTAGCCTTAGATGCCCAATTCAGTACTTCCAAGGAATCTTAAAAAATATGCCAAAAATTTGGTTATATAGTATGTAAGAACAGGCTGGGTGGTGAAGGACGGGCAGATTTCTCTCAGTCAGAATTGGTGTTTATAGAGATGGTTAAAAAGAGCTCAAATCTGGCCACAAATCACATTTCTCCTAAATTTAACTGCAGCAGCCATCCGTATGAGCATCAGCCCTGACTGAATGACTCCGGGAGAGAAATCTTTACCCATTCCACAATGACCAGCTTGTGTGGACACAATCAATTCTTGAGTAGTTACTTTTTCCTCAGCCCCATTTCCACTGTGAATCACTGGTAGGTCATCTGTTATATGCTCTTAAACTTCACAGAAGCCCATATGAATACTATTTTCCATTCTTATTGCAACCCCTTATTTGTACATTTTTGTCTCTCCTCCTGCTTCCTTCACTTCAACTTGTAAACACTGTACAGGCATCCCCCACGTTACGGAAGAGTTCCGTTCCCGGAAAATTGACCGTATCGCGAAATTCCGAAACGCGAAACCTATTTTCCCATTGACTTCCATTATAAAACTGGAGATGCATTCCTAAGGAATTTTTTTGGCCCCAAAAAAGTAATTCAAGCACTTTTATTAATGAAAATAAACATTTATAAACACATACAATACAGTACATTAAATAATTTATGATATACCTTCTTAAAACACCAATTTAGGGGTTAATATTGCATAATATTGCATTATACAGCTGTGTGTATGTTTATTTGAGTGCCCCATCATAGGAGTCCGTTTTCTCTCACTTTAAGGCCGCCTGAGTCATCCGTTTTCTCTTAATCTTAAGAGTGCACCAGGGACTACTGTATTATTTTTTAGTGGTGACACAGAATTTGATATTGCAACTGGGGTTGCAATTGTTGAGGCAACTTAGGTATGTCTGATTACAGTTGGAATATTCAAGATCCATTGTGAGTGATGTTTAAAGCTTCAACTGTCTTTATGGTTGGGAAAACTTGTCAAGTCTGACAGTTTGAATGGCATGTGTGAGGCCTTGTGTTTGTTTAAATTTACCCCAATTTCTGTAAGGGCGGATTTACGGGCCGTAACGCGAAATCATTGGTCATAATTTACAAATTCCGTAAGAGCGAAATTCCGTAACCCGGGCTTCCGTAACGCGGGGGATGCCTGTACCTGGTGAGGCAACTCCTACATTCTTATTTCTTAATTAGTTAATTAGTGGATGCTTCACGTACAAGACAGTTAAATGAACATGGAGTACCCTTTAGCGAATAATTCAGTTTACAAAACAATTACATCAGTGGGTAGAATTCAAAAGTAAACCTTCTAGTCTGTTCTGTAGTCTTTTACACCTGAAGCTGTGAAGATACTTAATGAATTCAAATATAGTGGGACAAATCTTACCTATAATACCTTGCTTTAAATGCGGGAAAAAAAAAATATACAGTGGTCCCTCGGTTAACGAACACAATTCGTTCCACAGAGACGTTCGTTAACCGGAAATTTTGTTAACCGAATCCATTATTTCAATGGGATATTGGGTAATTGGTTCCAGCTCATAGAAAAGTACATACAAAGTATAAACAAAATGCAGTAAAGTACACTTACTTTGAGGTGTGTATGTAGAATGCTGCTGGTTGATGATGATGGGAATTAGAAGTGGGGGTGGAGGAGAAGGGAGAAGAGAAGGAAGTGGGGATGGAGGACGAAATCGCCTTTCTTTGGACCCATGCTTGATGCAGTAATTTCACCAATAAGATTTTAAGTTCACTAGCTGTAATTACAGATTATTTTATTTAAAACAACACTGCACTGCACTATATATTATCAATATGTTAACTAAATTTCAGAATGGCCAAAAATTTTAATGTAAAAACGTAAAAATACTCTGTATTCAAGAGAGAGACAAACACGATGCTTCCTCCACTGTAAACAAAGTTAAACTGATGCTTTGGCGGGTGAGTCAAGCAGCTGATGGGCGCACAAAAAACTAGTTCCCTGTTCTGCATATATTATCAATATGTTAACTAAATTTTAAAATGAATAATAACTTTAATATAAAAATGCAAAAATATTAAAGAGCACAACCTTCTTGATATTTACTCCAATGGAAACAAATTGGCGGACTAGCCGATCAGCTGATGCTCACAACAAAACGTGTTTGTCGTAAGGATTTCGTTAATCGAAGTTTTGTTTGTTAACCGAATTGAAGATCCTTATGGGAGCTAATTCGTTAACCAAAATTTCGTTAGTCGAACCGTTCGTTAACCAAGGGACCACTGTATATATTAACAATATTGTATAAGCTGAAAATGTGCATTTAACGCCCAGATAAAGTAGCCTATATCAAGTAGGAATTTAAAATACAGTTGTACCCCACTTAACGCGGTCAATTGAACCCAGAGGGTCCCGTGTTAAGTGAAATCCGCGTTAAGTGAACAACAGAACATATGGGATTAATTCCATGGGAAACCGGCCCGACCCCCAAACTCCACTTTTTGAAGGCACATACCTATGTTGTAGTAAAAATAACATCTTAATTTTATGATGGTACATGCACACAATTAATACTTAAGAGAAATAGAGAAATACAGTCGCCAAGTTAATGTCCATTCAAATAATGGACTCAACTCCCTCCCCTCTCACACTACACAGCCGGCTAACAGATGGTCGGTCGGTCCCTCCCTCCCCCCCCCACCCCCCACCAACCGTCCCAAGGAGATGTGTGGGATAACCTCAAACTAAAGTTAGGAAAATATAATTGACATTGCTGGATTCCTTGTAAGACCAGGAATATTTTGAATATAAATGTCATATATTTTGCACAAAAGATAACATAGTTACCTAGAGAAAAAATTTTTATCTAAAAATTGTAAGTTTAAAGCAAAATATATGATGTTTATATTCAAAATGATCACCAAATTATAAGAATTCCAGCAATGTAAATTATATTCTGACCGGGTAATTTGTATGAATTTTATGAGCTAAAACAAATATCTTCAGTTAATAAAAAAATAATAATCTTCACGACACTATCTGTCAATCAAAGTACCCCACCTTGCCTCCCCCCCTCTTCCAACCGCGCGGTCAGTCCCAACCCTCCCCCCCACCCCCCACCAATCCTCCCTTCCAGAGTTTTTAACATTTAGTATTAAATAATACCTCAGATTAAAGTTAGGATAATATAATTGACATTGCTGGATTCCTTGTAAGACCAGGAATATTTTGAATATAAATGTCATATATTTTGCACAAAAGATACCATAGTTACCTAGAGAAAAATTTTTATCTAAAAATTGTAAGTTTAAAGCAAAATATATGATGTTTATATTCAAAATGATCACCAAATTATAAGAATTCCAGCAATGTAAATTATATTCTGACCGGGTAATTTGTATGAATTTTATGAGCTAAAACAAATATCTTCAGTTAATAAAAAAAAATAATAATTCTTCACAGGGTAACAGATGGTCGGTTGGTCCCTCCCTCCCCCCCACCCCCCACCAACCGTCCCAAGGAGATGTGTGGGATAACCACTAAATTTTAATAAATAATACCTCAAACTAAAGTTAGGATAATATAATTGACATTGCTGGATTCCTTGTAAGACCAGGAATATTTTGAATATAAATGTCATATATTTTGCACAAAAGATACCATAGTTACCTAGAGAAAAATTTTTATCTAAAAATTGTAAGTTTAAAGCAAAATATATGATGTTTATATTCAAAATGATCACCAAATTATAAGAATTCCAGCAATGTAAATTATATTCTGGCCTGGTAATTTGTATGAATTTTATGAGCTAAAACAGGCAGTCAGGCAGGGTGGCGGGTGGGGCAAATCTAAAAATAGCGTCTCGGACACTCACCGCGTATATGTGGAAAAAATCCGCGTTAAGTGAAAGTTCAGCTTTGGCAAGGCACCGCGTATATGCGAAAACGCGTTAAGTGAAACCGCGTTAGGCGGGGTAAAACTGTAATATATATATACCAGTTGTCAAAGAAAGAACAAGTACAAAAGTCATCGATTTGTACGCTGTTCTACACATTCACCATATCAAACAATGTCTGGCACCAATGGAGTTCTTAACTAAAAATATCTCTTTTGATTTAAGCAAAATATTAGTTTAGAATGACAGTGAACTAAAGTCTAAGTATGACCCAGCAATATCCTGACAACCACAAACCTAAATTTCCACAATTGGTGAGTAATTTCCTAGGTGCTACTGTGTATAAGTAAATACAGGTATTTTCACGTCACAATATACTACATCGAAAGGCATGACAAATAATTTATATTTGTTTTACTTCATGCATTTTTGCATAAACGATCCATCACAAATGACCCTGTTGTCAGAGTTTAAAACTATGATGAGAAATTTTTAATTTTTGGTATAGGCTAGTAAGATTTCTTCAAATATATATATCAAACCTTTGTCTTCTTACAACTTCATTTATTCTGAGCCGGTGATGAAGAAGGATCTGTTTCTGTTTTCTCAGCTGCTAACTTGGACAATTGGTGGACCTGCTGGGACAGATTCTCAACATCTTTGTGGAGCTGTATGTTTTTGGTTAAAGTCTCTTCCAAGAGACCTTGCAAGCGACGGTTAATCTCTCTCAGGGATTCCTCCCCGCCACCTCCTCGCATCATTTCCAGCACACGACGAACGTTCAATTTGTCGCTCAACCCAGGATGCAGGGGGGAGGTAGGTGTCGAGGGTGTGCTGTCTGTAAGTGAATATATGTACAGTAATACCACAAACATAATAATATCATTAATAATAATGATAAATGTGAAGTTTAGGCTTGTTAGACAAGTAAGTAGATTCAAATTAACTGGAAACAAAATAAACTGAATGGAGGGAATAAAGGAGATGAGAGAAATTTGGGGAGAGAGGAAAAGGAGGATGAAGAAAAATGGGAAGATACAGTAGAGATAAAAAAGTCAAACAAGAGAGATGATGTAACAGAAAGAGACAGTAAGGTGGAATACATTACCAAGTACATGAACTGAGAAGGTATAACCTCAATGTCAAATTACATATTATATTTAATACTGTGTCACAAAATACATGAGAGACTGATCTTGAGCTCCCAATCGATAACACAGTATAGATTGGGTCACTCAAGTACAGGTTGCCTTCCCCAATTGCAGGGGATACATTCCCCAACAAGATTGTGATTGAGCAATCATTGAGTGGGGAAACCACTGTAACATGCAGGAAAAGGTGATGTCAAAGAACTAAAATTTAAGTACAAAGTTAAATAAATGTAGTGTCCTATAAGCAATGTGACCTCTTACCTTTTGATTTATTTCCATTTGCAGTAGCAAACCATGAGAAGGTAAGTCAGTACATTTCACTTTACTGCAAGAATTGGAAACTATGACTGGGAAGGGAGACCTGTATAGTTAAAAGTCTTAAGGGGTTAAAACCAAAGTCTTCAGACCACTGGCATATAAAACTGGAGGTACAAAATTAGAACAATTCCAAAATTACTAACTAATTCAGATACACTAGTACAGTATTTTTAAATTACTTGATATTTCCTGATTACAATCACAGGCCCCAAAAGGCTGTTGTATTAAGTGTTATTATCCCCTATGCTCAGCAGTCATAATGCACTGGTGACAGCAAGGCAAGCTAGGATCACTCATTTCAGTTTTCAGCTCGCTCAAGCATATAAGGGAGGAGGAAGGAAAAGTGAATCCTCCGCTCTGTATTTGGTGGATCCTACAGCCATCTAAATATTTAAATACAGAGCTACTTTTTAGGGAGATTTTAATGTCATAGAATCCCCCCCCCCCCACAATGTAAGCCTGGGTTGATTTGTTTTGGCTGTTACCCTTAAACCTGGTAAGTTTCATGATATTAAGTTAACTACAACAAGGGATGAGGTGGAGCTACATAAGCTATAATATTCAACAGTCATCCATTCCCTTTAACAGTTGTCCCATTGTCATCACAAGGTCAGATAATGTTATCCTGGACCTTCCATAAAATTAAAAGCCATCAGAATCCAGAGACCCAATCAACAGTGGACAATATAAGTCCTATCAGATGATTTGGTTAAAATTGTCTCTAAAAAGTGAACTACATACTTTCTTTGGAGGTCAGAAACAAACTGCTAAGAGCCCATATTTGTAGCTCTATCACACATGCATTCTGTGACCCGTTACCATGATTACAGACTGGGCAATAGTACCATTTCTCCTCATTTTCAATCACTTTTCAAGTTGGATGGATGCCTTCCTGGCTGGCTCCATGTTTTTGGCAGCTAAGTGTTTTCTGTACCATACTTTGGACACTTACATAAGGGTAGACATGTTTCCATGCAGTCCTGGGCATTAGGATTATATTCAAGGTGTGTTTATCATGTTGTGGGTGATTATAATTACTTAATATAAGCCATCCAGTAGTCACACAAGTCAGGGTTCCTGGGTTGTCAATCATTTCCTCGTGCATCTGCAGATGACTCTAACACATCAAGTATATTATTACCATGACTCTTCAGTTCCATGCAATAGTGCTGAATAATGGCTGACTTCTTGAGGAGATCATCTGCCATGGCAGCTGATGAGGATTCAAGATGGGTAATTCGCTCCTCAAGCTGCCACTTCTGTTGCTGAAGGTCTGTAACACGATTGACCAAGGAGGCAGTTTCCTCAGTAACCACACCCGGGGGAGGTGACCCCTGAAATACAGGATACCGGCAATAAATAGTTTATTAAATTTTTTTTTTTTTTTAAACTTTAAGGAAAGAGGGACATAATAAGAAAAGGATGATATAGGCATTGTTGTAAGGAACTACATAGTACAGTACACTTCAATGATTACTTTATCAATGTTGGCAAAAATCTTGCACAGAGCATCCCTGATCACCGTGAGGAATTTAGAGCCTACCCACAAAACAGACAGCAAAATGAGTTGGTCTTACCCCCAGTCACAGCAAATGAATTATTGACCATCATAAAAATGTCTAAAGATGCAGCAGCAGGTGATGACAATATACCAATGAGCATCATTAAGAAAGTAGCCCACCAATTACTACCTGTTTTACTACACATTTGTAACTCCTCTTTCACAAGTGGTGTCTTTCTGGATAAACTGAAAATTGCTGAAGTTCACCCAGTACAGGTGTTCCTTTTCTTACGAACGAGTTACATTCCTGAGGCTTGTTTGTAAGTCCAATTGTTTGTAAGTCCAACTTTACTCTTGTAGATACCAAACATATTGTAACAAATGAAAAGATTATGGATATTTAGTACAGCTATACCCTTTAATACAGCCTTAAAACCTGGCTCACTCTTCTCCTCTTAGGTAATGTTTATTCTATCTGGAATTTGCTTCAAAATAATCTAGTCTCATCCACATTAAACACCTGTTCTGGCAGGTAACCCCCCTCAGTGATGATGTTTGTATCTCTGAAAGTTTGTAAGTTGAATGCTCTTAAGTAGAGGAGCACCTGTATATAAAATATCTGGTGATAAAGGTCTTTTCAAGAATTACTGCCCCATATCAGTCCTCCCAGTCTTAAGTAAGATACTGGAAAAGCTAGCATGTAATTTCCTTCTGCAGTGTCAATAACATCCTTACAGATTTTTAGTTTGGATTTAGAGCGAGAAAGCCAACTGAGAGTGTCATGCTATTCCTTACTCATGACATCTTAAACTCTTTTGATGACAGTCAGTTCACAGTCAGAATATTCCTGGACCTCTCTAAAGCCTTTGATACTGTTGACCATCATCCTCCTGTCAAAGCTTGAACATTATGGTATTAGGGGCTTATCCCACAATTGGTTTACCTCATATCTGTCTAACAGGAAGCAGTATGTCTGCTATACATCAACTCCTCCCTAATTTTGTATGGCATCCCTCAAGGCTCCATTCTTGGTCCTGTATTGTTCGTGTTATACATAAATGAGATAGTCCACTCCAGCACACTCGTAAAATACAACTTACTTGCAGACGACAGTAATCTCTATGCCAGCAACTCAGATCTCCATTCCTTGATGAGAACTATGAACAATGAATTGACTAAAGTCAGGACCTAGGTAACATGTAATAAACTGACTTTAAACCCCCATAAAAACCAACTACGCAATCTTTTACAGAAAGAAAAACTTACCCCAAAATTTGGACCCCTTGTACCTTCATAATACAGTCTTCAAACGAGAACAAAACAAAATACTAAATTACTTGGGGTTATTGCTGCTGATAAACTAAATTGGAGAAACTGGAGAAACCACAGTAAAGTCAATAAAAAGTAAGGTATCCTGTATCACACTCGACAGTCACTCACTCTTGTAGCAATGAAAGAAATCTATTATGATCTTGTTTACTAACACTTGATACACTGTCACACACTATGGGGGGCTCTGGCTCCACAAAAACACAACCCCTGATCACTGCACAGAAGAAAGTTGTGCAGACAATTACCTACTTGAGAAAAATTATCAAACTAATGAACAATTTGTTAACTTGAAAATATTAAAATTCAAGGATATTAACACTTACTGCTGTGCCCTATATGTTTATAAATCTGTCAATCACTTGATTAACAGTAATTATTTCCAGTTTCGGAAAAATCAGAGATACAACTTAAGGCACCCAGAGCTACTTAGACCAACCCCAATGTGCTCCTCTCAGTCCCAGATCTCCATAAAATATCACGGTGTGAAGGTGTGGAACAACTTACCCCCACCCATCAGACCAAAGAATATGCTCCCTTCCTTACAATCATCTCTTAAAAAATTTCTATTGTAAAAGTATGAAAATTTTTCTAACACATACTTTATACTTTTAATTTTATTGTACCACCAAAACCATTATATCACATATTGTCATGTGGATAGATAGAAATTACCATTGCAATAATTATATATTTGCCATCAAGACATGATCCTGACTGTTTCTGTCCTCTTGTTTAACCTGAATACTTCCTGAGATAAATGTACAGAATATATCAGGTGCCACTCAGAGAACTCAGGCTCTCAATTGGCTCAACCATATCAATAATGTTAATATTATCTTCTCTGTATCTGTATTTTTCTGGCTAAATAAACTGTTTCAATATCAATATCTGCTACCATACGAGACGCTCTGCGTCAGAAGGAGGTGAAGCGACACCCTGGCCAAAAAGCTTTTTTTGGTGGATATCACTATTTGTCACCCTTCCTCTACATGTTGGCGTTGGATGTAACCTTCTCGCTCGAATAAAAACATGGTAGAAAGTCCTTAAAAAATAAGGTGTGATTTCACCTCAGGCTACGTATCTGGCTGTGCGCTCAGTGCAAGAAAGTGGCAACATCCCGTTCAGAGCAAGAGGAGCGTGAGCCAATGCAAACGCGCCTCCCTCGGACCATAACCCCTGAGGCAGACAATCAGCATGGATTTCCCTTTGCTACGTCACAGTTCCTCAGCCAATCCGCGCGCCCAGATGCTGCCTCCTCCTTAGTTTTGGCGCGTATTTTAGCATCAGGGGTTCAGTGTACGTTCTACTGCTATTTTTTATAACTTTTCAGCGTAACATTGACGTTATTCATATTCCACGGGTGTGAGAAGCGCTGTGCAATATCTGCCTGATATTAGAGCAAGACTCGAGTGAGGCCAGGTCTTCTGGTGTGGGTTCAGGAGCCCATTATTCCTGAGCGTGTGTTTGACGCCAGTACTCAAGTGGACAACCCAGTAATGCTTGGTGAGTGATTTTGGTAGTGAATTTAGGGTTGATTATGGTGATACAAGTGCTACTGGCGATGGTGTAGGTGACGTGCGTGAGAATGTTGGCGATGAGCTACTTGGTGATGTTGGGGAGTCTAGTGTTGGTGGTAGTGCAGATTGCAGGGGTCAGGAGCATACCCCCCCCAAGGCCCTATAGAAAAAAAAGGCAGGATGAGAGAGCGTAGGGTTGACAAGTGGGCAAAGGAGGTTGCCAAGCATAAACGGAATTTAGGTGAGGAGTACGTAAGTTACAGAACCAAGAAAGTAGTCAAGGCGAGGCAGGTCGGCTCTCCCTGCCCAGACGGCTGCTTTGACAAGCCTGGCAGGGATGGCATCAACACCATTTTCACCAATTTCTGGGCAATTGGAAGATCTTTTTAGAGACTATGATGACTTACCTATTGACAATGAAAGTGACTCAAAGCATGAAGAAAGTGACATGCACTGACGGCAATATTGACGATGAAAGTGAAGATGAAAATGATGAAAGCGAGTCTAATGGTAACACAAACAGTGACACTAATGTATCACAACAAGAATATACAGACTGTGAGGAGGTAGAAGTGGACAGTGAAGAGACATGCATTGACCTTGATAGTGATGAAAGTGAGCCTGACCCAACGAATGCTAGTGAAAGTGAGCCCATACCTCAGTGTTATAATGAAACTGAATTGTTACCGGCATCAATAATCAATGATTTAGTTAATGAAAATCTGTATGGAGATTTTTAGAGAGGGCAGAGAAAGACTTTGATCAGTACGTGATTGATTATGACGAGGCCATTACAGTGGTCCCTCGGTTAACGAAATTTCAGTTACCTTCCACGAGAATCTTCAATTCGGTTAACGAACAAAAATTCGATTAACGAAATCGCTACGAAACTCACATTTTGTTGTGAGCATCAGCCGATCAGTTGATGGGCTACTCTGCCAATTCAGTAATCTCTTCTATGTTTACATTCGTTTCCAATGGAGTAAATATCAATAAAGTTGTGCTCTTTAATAGTTTTGCATGTTTTATATTAAAATTATTAGTCATTTTAACATTTATTTAACATATTGATAATATAAGCAGTACAGGCCCCCAAATACAACCACTTAACACTGAAAAAATTCTGTGGGAAATGTAAAAAATACGGTACTTTATCTTACCTTAGTGTTATTCAGCATGCAGGTACCCCTAAACACTGGCACATCACTATCACTTCCACTGGGAGTCTTGGCTTTAAGGTCCTCAAACAATTGTCTGGCCATTTCTTTCTCCTTTATCCACACTAAGAGTAAATTTTCCATCTCTTCAATCACATTACACTTTGCTTTGCTAAGTCTAAAGATTCTCTTAGCCACTTGCACAGTACAGTGTCGACCAGGTGTTTAACATGGACGAATCTGGTCTTTTCTGGAAAAAGCTACCTTCCAAGTCCTTCGTTGTAAAGAATGCCAGCAAGATTCGGGGCCGGAAGATGCAGAAGGAACGCATCACCGTCCTGTTTACCACCAATGCCTCCGGTACCTGTAAGCTCAAGTTATCGGTGATCCACACAGCACGCAAGCCGCACGCCTACAAAACCATGGACATGACCAAGCTAAATGTCCACTGGCTGACCGCACGTAAGGCGTGGATGTTGTCTACACTGTCCCTCTCCTGGTTTGATGACTGTTTTGTTCCCGATGTAAAGAAATTCTGTGAGAGACAGAATGTGCCATTTAATATTTTGTTGCTGCTGGACAACGCACCAGAACACTCGCCCCTACTGTTAGATCGTCACCCCAACGTAAAAGTGGTCTTCCTTCCTCCCAACACTACGTCTATATTATAGCCCATGGACTAAGAGTTAATCTGCAATGTAAAAGCTGCATTCTCAACAAAAACATTCCAGCTCCTGAACGACTACACCAACACCAGGGAAGAGTTGCGTAACCTGAGTGACACCACCACCGATAGCAAGAGCGAAGAAGATGAGGATCAACAGTTAGAACAGCAAAAAATACTCTTCAAACAATTCTGGAGAGTATTTAACATCAAGAAAGCTGTGGACTTCTTGGTGGAGTCATGGGATCAGCTGTCTATTGCTACAATTCGTCACGCATGGAGACATGTGTTGCATGGAATACCAGGTGAGAGGAGGAGTCAATCTGTGACTGGTGAGGTTCAGAATGTTGCAGTAGCAGTGGACCTTGCCAGAGAAGCTGCGCAGACTGTTACAGTTCCAGGCTTCTCCGAGACTACCGACGACGACATCCTGGAGGTGATCAGAAATCCTGAAGTGACTGCCGACGAGATGTTGGAAGAAGAACACGCCAGTGAAGAGGAGGAAGAAGGTGCGGCAGTCTCCGAAGAACACAATTTAAGTCATAGTGATATTAAGGGTGCCATGGAGTGTGCAGAGAAGATGAAGTCCTTCCTTTCCCGCGACAATGACGATGACCGCTATGAAGTCTTCCATACCCGGCTGGTGCAGGCTATGGAGCCGTACATCAAGGTGTATCACGACAACATCAACGCCAGCCGTCAGCAAAGCATAACAGATTTCTTCGCCCGCAACCCACCACAGCCAGCCCAAGCCAGTGATAGTGGCAGTGAAGATGACTTTGAGGGATTTGTCAGGGAAGCCCTGACAACTGTAAGTGACACTGATGGTGATTCACCTAGTAATGGTGATTCACCCGAGGGCCAGTAATCTCCCCTCTGCCTCGGAACCAGCCTCCATCCCCGTATGCCGACCCATCTCTTCTACTACCGTCAGTGTTACACCTAATTTTTAGTTTTCTAACCTAACCTTTATTTTTCCTATGTTAACCTTTATCTTTCCTAACCTAACCTCTTCTATATTAATTGTTTTTTCATACCATCATAAAGTTAAGATAAAATTTTTACTACAACATAGTTGTGTGTCGTCAAAAAGTGGAGTTTGGGGATCGGCCTGGACTCCATTTCAATTAATCCCATATGTTATGTTATTCACTTTACGCGTTCCTCACTTTACGCGGGACCCTCCGGGTTACATTAACCGCGTAAAGTGAGGGTTAACTGTATTTCCACAACCAGGTGCTTCTCAAGACGGAAAAATCACTTGTGAGCTACTTGGTGCGTCAGGCGCGACGGAACATGGCGGTGGACACGCACTCAGTTAAGGAGTACGCACGTGAACTATATGCTGCAGTGTCACGAAAGATGGGAATTACAGAGCCCAAACCCTTTAATGCTTCCTCTGGGTGGTTATAGAGGTTTAAGAAGAGGAACAAGATCACCAATATCAACACTGGTGGTGAAGAAGCTAGTGCTGACCGTGTTGCGGCTAGGGAATTTCCTCCGTTTTTACGTGAGATTATGGAGGAAGGGCAGTACACCGAAGACCAGGTGTTTAACATGGACGAATCTGGTCTTTTTTGGAAAAAGCTACCTTCCAAGACCTTCGTTGTGAAGAATGCCAGCAAGATTCGGAGCCGGAAGGTGCAGAAGGAGCGCATCACCGTCCTGTTTACCACCAATGCCTCTGGTACCTGTAAGTTCAAGTTATCGGTGATCCACACAGCACGCAAGCCGCACGCCTACAAGAGCATGGACATGACCAAGCTAAATGTCCACTGGCTGACCGCATATAAGGCGTGGATGTTCTCTACACTGTCCCTCTCCTGGTTTGATGATTGTTTCGTTCCCGATGTGAAGAAATTCTGTGAGCAACAGAATGTGCCATTCAAGATTTTGTTGCTGCTGGACAACACACCAGGACACTCGCCCCTACTGTTAGATCGTCACCCCAACGTAAAAGTGGTCTTCCTTCCTCCCAACACTACGTCTATATTACAGCCCATGGACCAAGAGTTAATCTGTAATGTAAAAGCTGCATTCTCTACGAAAAAATTCAAGCTCCTGAACGACTACACCAACACCAGGGAAGAGTTGCGTAACCTGAGTGACACCACCAACGATAGCAAGAGCGAAGACGACGAGGATCAACAGTTGGCAGAGCAACAAGTACTTTTAAAACAATTCTGGAGAATATTCAACATCAAGAAAGCTGTGGACTTCTTGGTGGAGGCATGGGATCACCTGCCTGTAGCAACTGTTCGTCACGCATGGAGACGTGTTGCAAGGCATTCCAGCCGTTAGGCAGAGTCAATCTGTGACTGGTGAGGTTCAGACTATTGCAGTAGCAGTGGACCTTGCCAGAGAAGCTGCGCAGTGTTTTACAGCTGCAGGCTTCTCCGAGACCACCACCAACGACGACATCCTGGAGGTGATAAGGGATCCTGATGTGACTACCGACGAGATGGTAGATGATGATGACGTCAGTGAAGAGGCAGGTGGTGCGTCATCCCAAAAAGAACACCGCTTATCCCATAGTAATGTTAGGGGTGCCATCGAGTGTATCGAGAAAGTCAAGCTCCTCCTTTCTGACGACACTGACGCAAACAGGTATGAAATCTTCACTACCCAGCTGTTGCAGACTATGGAGCCCTACATCAAGGTGTATCACGACAACATCAACACCAGCCGTCAGCAAAGCATAACAGATTTCTTCGCCCGCAACCCACCACAGCCAGCCCAAGTCAGTGATAGTGACAGAGGTAGAGACAGTGATGATGACTTTGAGGGATTTGTCAGGGAGGCCCTGACAAGTGTGGATGACAGTGATGGTGACTCACCTGAGGGCCAGTAGCCTGCCCTCTGCCTCGGAACCAGCCTCCATTCCCGTACGCCGACCCATCTCTTCTACTAACGTAAGTGTTACCCCCAACCTTTATTTTTCCTAACTTAACCTTTATTCTTCCTAACCTAACCTTTATTTTTCCTAACCTAACCTCTTCTATATTAATTGTGTGTGCATACCATCATAAAGTTAAGATAATATTTTTACTACAACATAGTTGTGTGTCGTCAAAAAGTGGAGTTTGGGGGTCGGCCCGGTCTCTATTTCAATTAATCCTGTTTGTTATGTTGTTCACTTTACGAGTTTCTCACTTTCCGCGGTACCCTGTGGGTTGAATTAACCTCGTAAAGTGAGGGTTCACTGTACAGTGGTCCCTCGATTAACGAACACAATTGGTTCCACAGAGTCGTTTGTTAGCCGAAAATTTTGTTAACTGAATCTATTATTTCAATGGGATATTGGGTAATTGGTTCCAACACACAGAAAAAATACATACAAAGTACTGTATACCAGTAATAGAATTAACAAAACATTAAATATAAACTTAATAAAGTATTGTACTGTACAGGATACTGTATAATAATAAATAAAAAACAATCGAATACTATATTTTAACTTTGAGGTGTGTAAGTCGTATTCCCGGCAGTTTTGTTTACATATCAAACAGCTGATTGTAGAGGCAGTCGATGATGACATGCCATATTCTTTCCAGAGTGCATTGGTTCTAAGGTCTTCTTCATGTTTCATAATAATTTCTACACTGTATATTATCAATGGAACTAAATTTCAGAATGACCAATAATTTTAATGTAAAAATGAAAAATTATTCAAGAGACCAACAAACTGGATGTTCACTCCACTGTAAACAAAGTTAAACTGAGAAGCATTGGTGGGTGATTCAATCAGCTGATTGGCACACAAAAACTGTTCCCTGTACTGTTTATATTATCAATATGTTAACTAAATTAGAATGACTAACAATTTTAATATAAAAAATGCAAAAATATTCAAGAGACCAACTTTCTTGACATTTACTCCACTGGAGACAAATGTTAACATAGAACCAATTACTGTATTGGTGGACTAGCCGATCAGCTGATGCACACAACAAAGCGTGTTTCTCGTAAGACTTTCGTTAATCAAAGTTTTGTTCGTTAATGGAATTGAAAATCCTTATGGGAGCTAATTCGTTAACCCAAATTTCGTTAATTGGACCGTTCGTTAATCGAGGGACCATATACATTTCTTTGTACACAAGTAAAAATGTAACACCCCCCTCCCACCCCCCCAACACCTTGGTCAGCAAATGTTATTCACGGTCATTTTGAGAACCTAAACTTTGCGAATTTGAAGGGCCTACTGTAATAGATGGATATTGGACATGCACCCCACACTGAGAGGTAACCCACTGTATTAAGAAGGTCGGGAAATAAATGCTCTTACAGAATATGAGGTAAAGCACAACGTGCTACACATAGGCTTCCCTCCGTGATACATCACCTACCCTCTATCTGACTGGTTGGTTATATTGTTGCCAAACAGAGATACTTTCAAAAGGAAAATACAGCCCTATATTTTCTGCAAGAACTACAGGTTTAACTAAACACTCCTACGAGAGTGTAAGGAGATCTAGAGCTTAGCTAATCATTTGAAAAGCTAAGTGGGACTTATAACCATACAGTACAGTGCAAATTATCCAACCAAAAAATCTTAACAATAACCATATAATGGCTCTACATTTTCTAACGACCACACAAGATTAACAAAGATGAACAATGAATTCTGGGACCACAACATAAGTTACAGCAAAATTACTACAATATAATGACTAACTTGTGGGGAAACGATGATGCTGTTCTCTCGAGTGGAGGAGTCTCGTGGTTCACCCGACACCATGGACCAAGATGACACACTGCTGACATCATCGCCTGCTTCTGACATAGCTGGATAAATAAGTAAGTTGGATGAGTTTTCTTTGAATAATTACCTTGCATTTCATTGGATATTTTCAACAGTCAAACAATGTTAAACATAAAAAAAAAATTAAAAGATCAATGGATATATTGTATGTTGTTTAAAAATATAGAATTGACCCTGTAAAATTGTAATAATACATTCAAGGACAGAAGTGCAGGTACACACAAGACATATTACATCTTATACAGTAGTATACAAAAAATAGTTGAATTCCTATTCCTCGTATCGTATAATAAATAAAATAAACTCACTGAGATGACCAGGTGCTATAGGTACAATCAGGGGAGCACAGTGTTAACAGGCAAGGCCCAAGACACTTCAATGTGTTATTGGCAAATACAAGGCCCCCCAAGTTCTCGGATTTTTATTTCGCGGATGACATCCTGGATGTACCCAAGAATGTCTATGGATAGTTTTAAAGTTGCCGGCATTTTCGAGGTTGAGACAGGGAGCCATTCATTCTAGAGACAGTAATTTCCTTTACCTGTATTGTAAATATGTATGTGTGTGTAGGCACACACACAAAACACATACAAATAAATAATAATGGGGAAATCCTCTCACAAATAATCAGAAAAAAATTTATTACAATTGTGACAGTCTACCCTCAAGTCCGTGCTTTATTACTTTATTAAAAAGTACGGACTTGAGGGTAGACTCACATTTTTAATAAATTTGTTTCTGATTATTTGTGAGAGTATTTCCCCATTATTATTTATTTGTTTCACACACACACACACACACACACACACACACACACACACACACACACACACACACACACACACACACACACACACACACACACACACACACACACACACACACACACACACACACACACACACACACACACACACACACACACACACACACACACACACACACACACACACACACACACACACACACACACACACACACACACACACACACACACACACACACACACACACACACACACACACACACACACACACACACACACACACACACACACACACACACACACACACACACACACACACACACACACACACACACACACACACACACACACACACACACACACACACACACACACACACACACACACACACACACACACACACACACACACACACACACACACACACACACACACACACACACACACACACACACACACACACACACACACACACACACACACACACACACACACACACACACACACACACACACACACACACACACACACACACACACACACACACACACACACACACACACACACACACACACACACACACACACACACACACACACACACACACACACACACACACACACACACACACACACACACACACACACACACACACACACACACACACACACACACACACACACACACACACACACACACACACACACACACACACACACACACACACACACACACACACACACACACACACACACACACACACACACACACACACACACACACACACACACACACACACACACACACACACACACACACACACACACACACACACACACACACACACACACACACACACACACACACACACACACACACACACACACACACACACACACACACACACACACACACACACACACACACACACACACACACACACACACACACACACACACACACACACACACACACACACACACACACACACACACACACACACACACACACACACACACACACACACACACACACACACACACACACACACACACACACACACACACACACACACACACACACACACACACACACACACACACACACACACACACACACACACACACACACACACACACACACACACACACACACACACACACACACACACACACACACACACACACACACACACACACACACACACACACACACACACACACACACACACACACACACACACACACACCCCCCTTTAATACAGCCTTAAAACCTAGCTCACTCTTCTCCTCTGAGGTAATGTTTGTTCTCTCTGGAATTTTCTTCAAAATAATCCAGTCTCATCCACATTAAACACCTGTTCTGGCACGTAACCCCCTTCAGTGATGATTTTTGTATCTCTGAAGTTTGTAAGTTGAACATTCTTAAGTAGAGGAGCACCTGTACAGGTAAAAGAAATAATTGTCCTAAGAGCAAACACAAAGGGAATATACATTTCTTTGTACACAAGTAAAAATGTACCCCCCCCATCCGCAAATGTTATTTGCGGATTTGGCCATTCGCGGCCATTTTGAGAACCTAACCCCCGCGAATTTGGGGTGGGCCCCCTGTACAAGAAACATAACTGGGAGATCAGTGGGTACCTGATAATCACATGATAAAAAACAAAATGGGGCTGATGGACAAAAATATTAGAACTCAATTCCAAATACAGTACAGTAAAGCCTCTGATAACGACGGTTCAACTAACGAAGATTCATATCTAAGACCCTGGTTAATTTAGGACCGAATTCAATTTACGCCATTATTTTCTTCATATTTACGACAAAATAAAAAAATATTAAATTTTTGTATAAATAATAACGAAATTCTGATATTATAAAAAAAAAAAAAAATGCCTTGCGCATGGAGGCTGCCGGGCTTGTTAGTGGTGACGCCAGCATCACCAGTACAAACAATCACAGCTGGCAGGCCCTTTGTTTTCACGCATCTGAACAGGAAAAGGAGAAAAATTTTCTAAGGTTTCTTACAGCATTTTTGCATCCCTATTCAACATGAGCAAGAGAGCAAGTGATGGTAGTGTTGTTTCAAAAGCTAATAGAAAGTGTATAAGCATAGCCGAGAAACTAGATGTGTTAAAACGATATGAAAAAGGTGAGAGGTCTGTGGATATTACATGGAGCAAGCAATGAACATATTTTCTGAAGTGGATCCATTAACAGAAAAAAGCATTCAAATTTAAATAAATGCAAATGACCTCTACATAAAGATGTTAAATGAGAAAAGAAAGGAGCTGTGCAAGGTTCTTTCAACAGCTTTATTATTCCAAGGCCTAAACCATCAACTTCAGCTACACCATCATAAACAACTTCAGGTTCAGTAACAGTTTCAGCAACAGCTTTATGGAAACCTACAGCTTTAGCCAGAGTTGAGCCTGATGACTTTGTCATCTGAGTAAAAACTTGCACAACATCATTGGCTGTCCTTATGTTTTAGACTTTACCACTATTGGTAAGTAGAATTTGTGTTTTGCATTCGTAAGTATTATTTAAAACATATATGAACAGTAAATATGTGTTACTTTCATATTCATATGTAGAGAAATGACTCTGTTTTCACATGTATGCACTTACTGTACATACGTTGGCGTTCCCAATCGTCTCGCTTTATTTCTTTAACATTAGTTGTTAGCTACTTCTAGTGTTCCATTTATTAACATTAGTTGTTAGAAGTAGTAGTGTTCCATTTATTAACATTAAATAACATTACGTAAAACATACGTACAGGTATTAATTTTTTTTTACATTAATTTCACTACTGTACAGCTACAACCAGGGTCTTATGTAGAACCATCGTCACTCACGAAAACAATGCCGTCTTGTCTCCTCGTGTGTGTTTTAATATTGTATGTATTATTAATGAATTGCATTGTTCATTTCACATACAGTGAGTTCTGCTATAACGCGTGTTTTGACAACGCGAATTGGCTCTAACGCGATTGATGAATAGAGGAACAATATTTGTAAAACGCGAACGCATTTGCTCTAACGCAATTCCACTCGAACGGTTGTTGTGGCTTGGCGCGGGATTATGCAGTGTTTACAGTTCACGTTCGACATCACATGTTCAATTGAGTTGTGTGTTTTGTTTGTGAAGAATTGCAGAAATAATATATGTAATATTTATGTACAGTTAACCCTCACTTTACGCGGTCCCGCATTCCGCGTTTCCACGTTTACGAGGTGCCTTGCCAGAACCTCACGTGCTCACATTACGCGGTACATGAACCCCATTACGCGGAGAGTGTCCGGCGCGACGCTATTTTTAGATTCGCCCCACCCGCCACCCGCCCGCCTGCCTGCCTGCCTCTCCCTCCTGTGATTGGCTTAAAGTATTATGACGTGTCCACCCGGGGGAGGGAGGGAGGGAGGGAGGAAAGACGACGCTTGACCTAGCCGCTGCAGTTTCATCCCTCAAGGCCACTCCGTGTAAACGCGCATCCATTGTTCCGTAAAATGGCTTCCGCCGGACCACCACCCCCAGAGAGAAACCTTTCCTTACCTGGACCCAGCGGCACTAAACCAAAGAAGACACGACGTTCCTTAAGCTACGAGGTGAAGTATAGCATCATCCAAGAGTTGGAGAAAGGAACAAGGCAGGTTGATTTGGCGCGCCAGCATGGCGTGAACGAATCTACGATCCGGACTATAAAGAAGGATTCAGCCAAGATAAAGGAGCACATGAAGATCACAAAGTCTACAGGTGCTTCTATGATCAAGTATTTTCACAACCAGGTGCTTCTCAAGACAGAAAAATTACTTGTGAGGTACTTGGTGCGTCAGGCGCGACGGAACATGGCGGTCGACACGCGCTCTGTTAAGGACTACGCACGTGAACTGTACATGGCAGTGGCACGAAAGATGGGAACTTCAGAGCCCAAACCCTTTAATGCTTCCTCTGGGTGGTTACAGAGGTTTAAGATCCGGAACAAGATCACCAATATAAACATTGGTGGTGAAGAAGCGAGTGCTGATCGTGCTGCGGCTCGGGAATTTCCTCCGTTTTTACGTGAGATTATGGAGGAAGGACAGTACAGTGACGACCAGGTGTTTAACATGGACGAATCTGGTCTTTTCTGGAAAAAGCTACCTTCCAAGTCCTTCGTTGTGAAGAATGCCAGCAGGATTCGGGGCCGGAAAATGCAGAAGGAACGCATCACCGTCCTGTTTACCACCAATGCCTCCGGTACCTGTAAGCTCAAGTTATCGGTGATCCACACAGCACGCAAGCCGCACGCCTACAAAACAATGGACATGACCAAGCTAAACGTCCACTGGCTGACCGCACGTAAGGCGTGGATGTTCTCTACACTGTCCCTCTCCTGGTTTGATGACTGTTTTGTTCCCGATGTAAAAAAATTCTGTGAGAGACAGAATGTGCCATTTAATATTTTGTTGCTGCTGGACAACGCACCAGGACACTCGCCCCTACTGTTAGATCGTCACCCCAACGTAAGAGTGGTCTTCCTTCCTCCCAACACTACGTCTTTAATCCAGCCCATGGACCAGGAGTTGATTTGCAATGTGAAAGCTGCATTCTCAACAAAAAAATTCCAGCTCCTGAACGACTACACCAACACCAGGGAAGAGTTGCGTAACCTGAGTGACACCACCACCGATAGCAAGAGCGAAGAAGATGAGGATCAACAGTTGGAACAGCAAAAAATACTGTTCAAACAATTCTTGAGAGTATTTAACATCAAGAAAGCTGTGGACCTCTTGGTGGAATCATGGGATCAGCTGTCTATTGCTACAATTCGTCACGCATGGAGACATGTGTTGCATGGAATACCAGGTGAGAGGAGGAGTCAATCTGTGACTGGTGAGGTTCAGAATGTTGCAGTAGCAGTGGACCTTGCCAGAGAAGCTGCGCAGACTGTTACAGTTCCAGGCTTCTCCGAGACCACCAACGACGACATCCTGGAGGTGATCAGAGATCCTGAAGTGACTGCCGACGAGATGTTGGAAGAAGAACACGTCAGTGAAGAGGAGGAAGAAGGTGCGTCATTCTCCGAAGAACACAATTTAAGTCATAGTGATATTAAGGGTGCCATGGAGTGTGCAGAGAAGATGAAGTCCTTCCTTTCCCGCGACAATGACGATGACCGCTATGAAGTCTTCCATACCCGGCTGGTGCAGGCTATGGAGCCGTACATCAAGGTGTATCACGACAACATCAACGCCAGCCGTCAGCAAAGCATAACAGATTTCTTCGCCAGCAACCCACCACAGCCAGCCCAAGCCAGTGATAGTGGCAGTGAAGATGACTTTGAGGGATTTGTCAGGGAAGCCCTGACAACTGTAAATGACAGTGATGGTGATTCACCTAGTAATGGTGATTCACCTGAGGGCCAGTAATCTGCCCTCTGCCTCGAAACCAGCCTCCATCCCCGTATGCCGACCCATCTCTTCTACTACCGTAAGTGTTACACCTAATTTTTAGTTTTCTAACCTAACCTTTATTTTTCCTATGTTAACCTTTATCTTTCCTAACCTAACCTCTTCTATATTACTTGTTTTTTCATACCATCATAAAGTTAAGATAAAATTTTTACTACAACATAGTTGTGTGTCGTCAAAAAGTGGAGTTTGGGGATCGGCCCGGACTCCATTTCAATTAATCCCATATGTTATGTTATTCACTTTACGCGTTTCTCACTTTACGCGGGACCCTCCGGGTTACATTAACCGCGTAAAGTGAGGGTTAACTGTATACAGTATACCTGTACAGTATATGTAAATTGTAAAATTTTAAATAAAAGAGAAAAACAAATTATGTAGCGTTTTACACCCACACTCTGTTTACATCACACACAGTGTTTACAGTTCACGTTCGACATCACATGTTCAATTGATTTATGTGTTTTGTTTGTGAAGAATTGCAGAAATAATATACAGTTAACCCTCACTTTACGAGGTTAATGTAACCCGGAGGGTACCGCGGAAAGCGAGAAACACGTAAAGTGAATAACATAACATATGGGATTAATTGAAATGGAGTCCAGGCCGATCCCCAAACTCCACTTTTTGACGACACATAACTATGTTGTAGTAAAAATAACATCTTAATTTTATGATGGTACATGAACACAATTAATACTTAAGAGAAATAGAGAAATACAGTCGCCAAGTTAATGTCCATTCAAATAATGGACACGACTCCCTCCCCCTCTTCTCACACTACACTGCTGGCTCTTCCCTCTGAGAAATTTTGGGGGGAAAACCAGGTATAGTAATAAATAATACCTCAAACTAAAGTTAGGATAATATAATTGACATTGCTGGATTCCTTGTAAGACCAGGAATATTTTGAATATAAATGTCATATATTTTTCACAAAAGATAACATATTTACTCAGAGAAAACATTTTATCTAAAATTTGTATGTCTAATGCAAAATATATGATGTTTATATTCAAAATGATCATCAAATTATAAGAATTCCAGCAATGTAAATTATATTCTGACCGGGTAATTTGTATGAATTTTATGAGCTAAAACAAATATCTTCAGTTAATAAAAAAAAAAAATATTCTTCACAGGGTAACAGATGGTCGGTCGGTCCCTCCCTCCCCCCCCCCCCACCAACCGTCCCAAGGAGATGTGTGGGAAAACCAGAATACTTAACTTTTTTGTAATAAATAATACCTCAAACTAAAGTTAGGATAATATAATTGACATTGCTGGATTCCTTGTAAGACCAGGAATATTTTGAATATAAATGTCATATATTTTGCACAAAAGATAACATATTTACTCAAGAGTAAAATTTTATCTAAAATTTGTATGTCTAATGCAAAATATATGATGTTTATATTCAAAATGATCACCAAATTATAAGAATTCCAGCAATGTAAATTATATTCTGGCCGGGTAATTTGTATGAATTTTATGAGCTAAAACAGGCAGTCAGGCAGGGTGGCGGGTGGGGCAAATCTAAAAATAGCGTCTCGAGCCGGACACTCACCGCGTATATGTGGAAAAAATCCGTGTTAAGTGAAAGTTCAGCTCTGGCGAGGCACCGCGTATATGATAAAACGCGTTAAGTGAAACCGCGTTAGGCGGGGTAATACTGTATTCAGAAATATGGTATCGTAGTATTTATTCAAGTGAATTAGGATAGAATATTATTGTAATACAACAGTAGTGACGATGTGGAGGAGGCGGAGGGATAGAGCGGGGAGGAGTGGTAACTGGCGGGAGCAGGGACGAGTGGAGATGCCAGCTAGTACATTACGGGTGTACAGTATTAATTGTTTTTATAGCTCTTTTTGCATTTTAATATTAAATGCTGTACATTACGTTTCAACAAAACTATTATTTATTTTTAAGAATATGGAAATGTAATATTTTTGCTGAAATGACGAACGTATTACAGTGGAAAGTGGGATAAAATTGTGACGAAAGCAATGACTTTCGCTTTCTTTCGTTCAAAAGATGTTACCGTAATCGCTTTTCGAATGGTTTTCAGTTGTGGGATTATGAGGCTAATGATAGGATAGAATATTATTGTAATACAGTACAACAGTTTTTTAACTGAAAACCATTCGAAAGCGATTATGGTAAAATCTTTTGAACAACGAAAGAAAGCAAAAGTCATTGTTTTTGTCATGATTTTATCCCACTTTCCACTGTAATATGTTCGTCATTTCAGCCAAAATATTACATTTCCTTATTTATTTCGGAGAATATATTCATTCAGTCACAGTTAAGGTAAAATATACTTGTGATATAATAATTTAATGAAAATACGGTATCGTAGTTTTCTTTTGTTTCAAATTTAATTATCAAAGATTGATGTTTCAAATGTAATGAACAAAAACTTTAAAAAATGAATACTTTATGTTTTACATCGTCCTGTGCATACTATACCATGCATTTGGCTACTTTGGGCTTGCTATGATGACGCAAGAGATCTGCCCTGGCAACTGTACCGACACCCACAGCTGGTGGTGCGTTGGTGCGTCGTTTCCATTGTTTACTGGTAGTTACTGGTAAATATTTTTCAACCTAACAAAACTATTACCTGTTTAGAGGTCGACCCCCAATTTTTGCCAAATAATTTGGTCTTAAAAACTCGAAATACACACAGGTATATACGGTAAATAAGGACATGGGGGGCCAGGGATTTTTTTAGGGGGCAGCAATAGTACACGGATTTTTAACATTCACGGGTATCTCTGTTACCTAACCTCCGCTTATGTTAAGGGCCGACTGTACTGTAGTTAAAAATGCACCGAGTGTTCCAAGTCACATGCTTTGATCATCACAATGACTTTGACTAAAGGTTAGCTAGAAAGTCCCTGTTCAAATATAACCAGTTTCTTTAAATTTATTCATGGAGGTAGCAAAAGAAATTAGTCAATGAATCAATCAACATGCAAGGTATCAGATGACATAGTAAGCAGGATGAAAATAAATGAGAGTATCTTCCAGGCAAACAATGATGGAGTAAAGGAGATGTAGTAAAGGTTTCCAACATTGGGAATAAACAATGATAAATGAGACTATACGATTCCTGTACAGTCAGCAAGACCACAGGTTAGCAGAACCAGACAAGTGTAACTGCAGACAATTGTAATTGGAACTAATAACCCCTTCAATTCCATCTCACCTTAGCACCCCAAAGGAAGAAGGGAGGGACCTGAGTTGCCTCAAAAGCCATGCATGCAAGGCTGTGTGAGCTTAATGGACTTGACCATTATAGTGGAGGCTTAAGAGGCTCTAAACTTAGAGAGATGGTTTAATTTCTGGAGTTTAGTCAAAGTCACACCTGTCTGTCAGGTGTCCTAAAAACTCTTGGGATGTCAACTTGTGGTGCTGTTCACTATACATGAGTTGTCTGATCTATGTGCAAGTTATAAATTATGGGTCAGGTTAGGTAGGGTTCTTTTATTAGTTAGGTGTACAAATGATGACTCACTTGTGATGGCAGTCAACTGAGCAGGATCAGTCAGCAACTGGCTTAGTTTTTCTTGAAGACGATCAGCACGTTTCTTCTCCACTGCAAGTTGCTTTTTAAGGTCTTTTAGTAATGTCATGCCTTTGCGTTCATGGATTCGTTGTTCTTCCTCTCCATCTGCAACCTGAATATAAATGAGGTTTAAGGGGCCAGTTTAAAATTTCATTCACGTCACAAGGTATCTTGAAATTTGTGTTTTTTTGTCATCATGAACTACGAGGAGTTTAACATTACCTTTCGTTTCAGAGTCTCTACAGTTTCCTCCGCTTCCTGACACTGTATGGTACTGATTTCAAGTTGTGTCTGAAAGTCCTGAAAAATATCATAGTGATAGTCTATTCATATTTTTATTACATTTTTTTCTTCACTTTAGTAAACCCACATTTAAAAGTAAGGCAGAATCTACTTAACACAATACAGTATATAAAATTTGATGCTGTCCCTCTACTACCAACCAAAAGCAAATAGGTTCCCTGTTGCACAATATTTCAATACAATATAGTCAGCATTTACGCGGTTTTTGTTTACGCGTTTGGTCATTTACGCGGCGCCTTGCCAGAATGAAAATGCTTTAATTACGCGGTAAATTTGGTAATTTACGCGGCGAGCAGATGGAGAGGCCCGGACCGCCGTGCCATTTTTTACCCACGCGGTCCATTCTTGACCATACACGGGAAGCGGCGCGGTGAGTGGTGCGCATTAGGCCGCTCTTACGTTATCGCTGATGTCATATGACGTATCGGACTGTGATTGAGCCACACATCCTTACCTCCCTCCGCCGCTAGCTGTGATTGGTCTAATGTAACATGACGTGCCCTGCCACCAGAGGGTAGAAGTCGCTGACCTAGCCGGGCCTGTCTCATTGTTCTCAGTCCGAGTATACAGTTCTCTCTTGTGCCCGCTATTCCCCTCACAACTCACAATGGCTTCCGCGGGAACCCCACCACCAGAGAAAAACATTGAATTACCTGGACCAAGCCATGATAATGTGAAGGAAATCAACGAGTTGGGGGAGAAAATTAAGCTCATCCTTGACAACGACCCAGACAAGCATCAGTATAAAGCGTCTAATAACCATCTGACGAAAGTTATGGAGCCGTATATCCGGATCTATCTCAACAACATCAATGCTAGTCATCAACGTAGTATTGAGGACTTCCTCGCCCGCAACCTACCACAACCACAGCCAGCCCAAGTCAGTGATAGTGATACAGTGATCCCTCGGTTAACGAGATTTCGGTTAACGATTTACCTTCCATAAGATTCTTAACTTCGGTTAACGAGCAATCCCTCGATTAACAAGTTTTTTACGAGCCGACTTCAACATGTTTTCGCTTGCATTTGGCGGTCCACCAGCTGTAGTATTAGTCCGTCAATACAGTAATCGCTTTTAGGGCTTAAATTCCTTACTATTTTAGTAAATATCAAGAAGTTTATACTATTCAATAATTTTAAAAGTTTAATATTAACTTTTTTAGTCATTTTAACAATTATTGAACATAATTGAAGGTAAAGAAACTAGTTTCTGGCGTGCCATCCAGCCTGTTAATACACCAGACAGGCGTTAGTCTCTCTCTGTTTTCCGTGGAGGTAACATCTTGCTTGAGACTCTCTTCAACTAAACGCTTTTTTTCTGTGTTTCCAAGCAAATTATTGGTAATTTTGAAATGTATTTTACATATTGACAATATACAGTTGTACCCCGCTTAACGCGGTTTCACTTAACGCGATTTCTCATATACGCAGTGCCTCACCAGAACCGAACTTTCACTTAACACGGTTCATCTACTCATATACGCGGTGAAGTATATATTTTTTTTTATTTAGCTCATAAAATTCATACAAATTACCCGGCCAGAGTATAATTTACATTGCTGGAATTCTTACAATATGATGATCATTTAGAATATAAACATCATAGATTTTGCATTAGACATACAAATTTTAGATATAATGTTTACTCTGAGTAAATATGTTATCTTTTGTGCAAAATATATGACATTTATATTCAAAATATTCCTGGTCTTACAAGGAATCCAGCAATGTCAATTATATTGTCCTAACTTTAGTTTGAGGTATTATTTATTACTAAAAAGGTAAATATTCTGGTTTTCCCACACATCTGGTAGGGAGGGTTGGTGGGAGATGGGGGAGGAAGGGACCGCCCGACCATCTGGCACGGTGTGAGGAATATTTTTTTTTTTTATTATCTGAAGATATTTGTTTTAGCTCATAAAATTCATACAAATTACCCGGCCAGAATATGATTTACATTGCTGGAATTCTTACAATTTCATGATCATTTTGAATATAAACATCATAGATTTTGCATTAGACATACAAATTTTAGATATAAGGTTTACTCTGAGTAAATATGTTATCTTTTGTGCAAAATATATGACATTTATATTCAAAATATTCCTGGTCTTACAAGGAATCCAGCAATGTCAATTATATTATCCTAACTTTAATCTGAGTTATTATTTATTACTAAAAATATAAATTACTATTTTCTCCCAAAGCTTCTCTGGTAGGGAGGGTTGGTAGGGGGAGGGGGGGGGAAGGGTTGGGACGGAACACCATCTGGCGCGGTTGGAAGAGGGGGGGAGGCAAGGTGGGGTACTTTGATTGACAGATAGTGTCATGAAGAATATTTTTTTTTTATTAATTGAAGATATTTGTTTTAGCTCATAAAATTCATACAAATTACACGGCCAGAATATAATTTACATTGCTGGAATTCTTACAATTTGATGATCATTTTGAATATAAACATCATAGATTTTGCATTAGACATACAAATTTTAGATATAATGTTTACTCTGAGTAAATATGTTATCTTTTGTGCAAAATATATGACATTTATATTCAAAATATTCCTGGTCTTACAAGGAATCCAGCAATGTCAATTATATTATCCTAACTTTAGTTTGAGGTATTATTTATTCAAATCTAGTGGTTTCCCCCAAAAATTTCTCAAAGAGGGAAGAGCCGGCAGTGTAGTGTGAGAGGGGGAGGGAGTCGTGTCCATTATTTGAATGGACATTAACTTGGCGACTGTATTTCTCTTAAGTATTAATTGTGTGCATGTACCATCATAAAATTAAGATGTTATTTTTACTAGAACATAGTTGTGTGTCGTCAAAAAGTGGAGTTTGGGGGTCGGGCCGGTCTCTATTGGAATTAATCCCATATGTTCTGTTGTTCACTTAACGTGGTTTTCATTTAACGCGGTACCCTGTGGGTTCAATTGACCGCGTTAAGCGGGGTACAACTGTATAATGCAGTGCAGTGCTGATTTAAAGAAAATAATCTTGAATTACACCAAGAGAACTAAAATTTTAATAATAATAATAATAATAATAATTAACGGTTTATTGAAAGAGCTTGGCAGCCAGAAGGCTGAAAATATACAGTTACATATTTGGGGAATGGGTTTCGAATTTCAAATAATATACAAGTAACATAAGTGACACAAATAAGACATATAATAACTAGATGGGGAAAAGCTCAAACTACAGTTCATTTCAACATAGTGACAGTGCAAGGAGTAGTGTTTACTGGGAGTGAATACACTGGTTTATTACAAGATATTGATAATTTTTACAATGGTTGGGACTGGGCTGTTCTTATAGCGATCAGTTCGTGCACGTATGGGCTGGATGCGGTTGTGGTGTCGAACAGCAATTCTCGGACTAGGGATCTCAGGTGGCAGTAGGAGCCGGTGTCGAGGATGGTGTAGAAGCTTCTTACCAAATTTGCAGATGAGGTCGTGGTGATGGTCAGTGAGAGTCGAAAGGGTCAGTGTGTTGAGCGCTTCTTGATATGTGGAGTAGGAAGGGGAGAGAATAATCTTGCATGCCCTCTTTTGCACTTTTTCTATGGGTGAAATGGTGCCATGGGGTGACTTCTCTTCCACCCCAATGCCTTCTCTTCTCCCCTCTCCTCCACCCCCATTTTAATTCCCATCTTCATCATCATCATCCAGGAGCCTTCTACATACACACCTCAAAGTAAGTGTACTTTTCTACCTTTTTTGTTGAATTTAGGCAATTTTCGGTGAGTTGGAACCAATTACCCAAAAACCCATTGAAACAATGGTTTCGGTTAACGAGTTTTTCGGTTAACAAGCAACCTGCTGGAACGGATTGTGCTCATTAACCGAGGGACCACTGTATTGACAGTGAGGATATGGACTTTGAGGGGTTTGTCTGGGAGGCCATGCAAACCTCTGCGAGTAGTGAAAGTGAAAGTGATTCACCGGAGGGCAACTAATCTGCCCTCTGCCTCGGAACCAGCTGCCATCCATGTGTGCCGACCCAGCTTTTCTACTAACGTAAGTGTTAAAAAACCGAATTTTATTGATATTTCTCTTAATTATTAATTGTGTGTGCATACCATCATACAATTAAGATGTTATTTTTACTACAACATATGTATTGTGTCGGAAAAAGTGGAGTTTGGGGGTAGACCCAGTCTCTATTTCAATTAATCCCATATGTTCTGTTCTGCTATTTCATTTACGCGTCTCTCGTTTTACGCGGGCCTCCATTGGTTCAATTGACCGCGTAAATGCAGACTACAGTTGTACCCCACTTAACGCGGTCAATTGAACCCAGAGGGTCCCGCGTTAAGTGAAATCCGCGTTAAGTGAACAACAGAACATATGGGATTAATTCCAATAGAAACCGGCCCGACCCCCAAACTCCACTTTTTGAAGGCACATACCTATGTTGTAGTAAAAATAACATCTTAATTTTATGATGGTACATGCACACAATTAATACTTAAGAGAAATAGAGAAATACAGTCGCCAAGTTAATGTCCATTCAAATAATGGACTCAACTCCCTCCCCCTCTCACACTACACAGCCGGCTAACAGATGGTCGGTCGGTCCCTCCCTCCCCCCCCCACCCCCCACCAACCGTCCCAAGGAGATGTGTGGGATAACCTCAAACTAAAGTTAGGAAAATATAATTGACATTGCTGGATTCCTTGTAAGACCAGGAATATTTTGAATATAAATGTCATATATTTTGCACAAAAGATAACATAGTTACCTAGAGAAAAATTTTTATCTAAAAATTGTAAGTTTAAAGCAAAATATATGATGTTTATATTCAAAATGATCACCAAATTATAAGAATTCCAGCAATGTAAATTATATTCTGACCGGGTAATTTGTATGAATTTTATGAGCTAAAACAAATATCTTCAGTTAATAAAAAAAAAATAATCTTCACAACACTATCTGTCAATCAAAGTACCCCACCTTGCCTCCCCCCCTCTTCCAACCGCGCGGTCAGTCCCAACCCTCCCCCCACCCCCCACCAATCCTCCCTTCCAGAGTTTTTAACATTTAGTATTAAATAATACCTCAGATTAAAGTTAGGATAATATAATTGACATTGCTGGATTCCTTGTAAGACCAGGAATATTTTGAATATAAATGTCATATATTTTGCACAAAAGATACCATAGTTACCTAGAGAAAAAATTTTATCTAAAAATTGTAAGTTTAAAGCAAAATCTATGATGTTTATATTCAAAATGATCACCAAATTATAAGAATTCCAGCAATGTAAATTATATTCTGACCGGGTAATTTGTATGAATTTTATGAGCTAAAACAAATATCTTCAGTTAATAAAAAAAATAATAATTCTTCACAGGGTAACAGATGGTCGGTTGGTCCCTCCCTCCCCCCCACCCCCCACCAACCGTCCCAAGGAGATGTGTGGGATAACCACTAAATTTTAATAAATAATACCTCAAACTAAAGTTAGGATAATATAATTGACATTGCTGGATTCCTTGTAAGACCAGGAATATTTTGAATATAAATGTCATATATTTTGCACAAAAGATACCATAGTTACCTAGAAAAAATTTTATCTAAAAATTGTAAGTTTAAAGCAAAATATATGATGTTTATATTCAAAATGATCACCAAATTATAAGAATTCCAGCAATGTAAATTATATTCTGGCCTGGTAATTTGTATGAATTTTATGAGCTAAAACAGGCAGTCAGGCAGGGTGGCGGGTGGGGCAAATCTAAAAATAGCGTCTCGGACACTCACCGCGTATATGTGGAAAAAATCCGCGTTAAGTGAAAGTTCAGCTTTGGCAAGGCACCGCGTATATGCGAAAACGCGTTAAGTGAAACCGCGTTAGGCGGGGTAAAACTGTATACTGTAATAAAAATAAATAAAAAAATAAAATAAACAAAAAATAAAAATCCCTATCTTGAATCAATTCTATAAATAGTAACTAAAAAGAATTGAAATATTGTCAGAAAAAATTATCCAGAATGATTTAAATTTGATTTATTATACGGTACTTACATGATCCCTCCCACCCACCCACACCCACAAAACTGTGCTTCTGAAATTCCATTTTATAGTCAAGTGCAACCAGATGGCTTGTACTGTATATGCAGTACAGTAGAACGTCGATTTAAAGCGATTCAATTTAAGATTACCGATTTAAAGCGACACCCACAATTAAGGACAATGTTTTAATTTAAAGCAAATCTTTCCTATTTTGCGCGAGTCAATCTGGCACATCATATTTTAAAATTCGCGCCTAGTGTTTCTCTGGGCACACTACACTGTCCTAAGGGCAAAGCTGTACTGTACATGTACTCAAAATAATGTACTAATGATTACAAAAATTTTTGTCTAGTGCAAACTATAGCATGTTTATATTCAAATTAATCACTATCTTATAAGATTCCAGCAATGTAAATTATATTCTCCCTGGTCACTTCTGTGACATTTTAAAAACAAAAAACTAAAACTCGATCTAAAGGACATAAATAAACAAATAAATATTTCACTAGACCTTCAGCACAACTGTCAAACATGTCACTGTCACGTCACCTCCCCCCCCTCCCAATTTAGCAATTTGCATTGCTAGAATCCTTGCAAGACAGCGAATAATTTGAATATAAACGTCATATATTTTGCACAAGAGATAAAAATTTGTATGTCTAATGTGAACTATAGCATGTTTATATTCAAACTAATCACTATCTTATAAAAATTCCAGCAATGTTAATTATATTCTCCCAGGTCAGTTTAGTGACATTTTATAAGAGAAAAACTCTTAAGGACAGATAAATAAATAAGCACTAGACCTTGGCATCAACTGTCAAACATATCACCTCACCCCCCCTCCCTCTACCCCCATCTTCCCAGCCAGTAAACAGACCATTTTTATCCCTTAATTTTAGCTGTGTTGATTTATGAGTGTTTGTTTTAACATAATACTACAAAAAACAATATTTTGTTTATTCTAGGAGATGGGCTGAGGTGCATCTGGGTAGACTGTCAGTATTTTTAGTATTTTGTGTTTCTCTCAAGTACCAAACTAAATTATTCCATTGAAACAACACTTCGATTTAGTGCAAATTCGGTTTGATGCGACCTCTCTTGGAACCTATCTCGTGTTATATCGACGTTCTACTGTACTTCTTTTGATAAGTTTATTACTGTCATATTCGCCGCCAGTGAGGCCCATTCACATCTCGCGATGCACCATGGTCTCAGGGAGGAAGGCAGCAGTGCCCAAACAGGCCTAAAGCAGCTTTGTCTAATGTTCACCAGGGTGTTAGCAGCTAACAGAAGCTATGAGTTAGTTTGTCATGGGATTGGCTGCAAGGATTGGGGTGCAATGCCTGGCAACGTCACCTCAGTCTAATGCCCGCGGCCCACTTTTAGAGAGCATTAGAGCCTGGGTGTAGTGTTTATTAAATGCTGAGAAAATTTTGAATCAACTCCCAACCCCATGGCACAGGTGCAGGGCATGACAGGTGGCTCCATCGCACTGGGGGGAGGGGGGGGCAGTAAGAGGCAGGGCATCCATGTACATAGTGGGATCTACATTGTGGCATAAGAAATCATACCCGAGTACAAACATCGTTTCATTGACTATAGACACTCAATCACCTCATCAAATTTGAACATACGTGTGTAAAATATTATTGTGATTATATTGCCATTGAGGCACTGTCTTATTACATATTTTCCTATAGGCGCATACCACCTTACTGTTAAGTCGTCATCTTGTTGACCGCATGTTCCTTCTTTATGAATTATATCTGTGACTAATTCTATCTCTGCTAGGCCATGCCTCTTATTTCTCTATACAGTATTGTACTGCCGGGTACTTTGCTGTCACTCGCAATCGATTATGATTGTACATAACAGTGTGAACGTGTTTGGGGACTATTTGTGTGTTTTTTGTGTACCTGTCACAGGTGTATAAGACATTACCACAAGAATAGACATGGTTGTTGTACATCTGACTTTCCTTCGCCCACTGGGAGATCCGCTGTTACGAGTTTTAGAAAAAAGCTAATAAGTGGGTATTGATCCTAAATCTACAATGGTTGACCTGTAAGAGCTGACTAGCAAGTTCATGCAGGCAAGTGTGACATCATGGCTTAGCAGTCTCCTCATTTTGAGGGGAAATTTGACTTTGTTTCTTTTTTATGGGTAACAGTTGTTGTTCCACAGGTAGATCTTATCAAGGGATGCTAACCTGTCATTAATGCTTTTTGTCACCTGGATCTAATACTTACCAGGCTTAGTACTGTATCTGTATTACTCAAGCAGCCTTGCTGTGGGCTTGGCTATAAAATGAGACTGCAGGAACAAACCTCCATTTTTAATGATTATTGGGGAAGGAAAGAAAACTGCAAAATCTACTCTTGACAAGGTCCCTCCTTTATATTGTTGAAGGGCCCCTTGTTCATCTTACTCACTTTCTTTTCCTCTTCCCACTTCCAGCTTAGTTCTTCCATCTCCTGTACCTTCTCTGCTGTCACCCTATTGATCTCCTCCTGAGTCTGCTTGTGAGCTTCCTTGAGGTCTCCCATAAGTTGACAATTTTCCTCTTCCATCTTACACTTATCCTGTTCCAAAGTCCTCACCTGCTCCTTCAGATCCATTACTTCATCTACCCTTTTGTTTACATCCTGAAGCTGATTCTGGATTTGAATAAAAATTTTTGTTAATAAAGATACCCCAAGTGTGCAATAGTAAACAACTGATAAAGGTCGACATACATTTTGAGCAACAGGGAAAAATTTTCAAAATATTTGGTGGAGTGAAAATGATGGACACACAGACAGGTAACAAGAATTAATTTACTCTTTCAGTGTAACTCATTCACCACAACCAATCTTAACCAAGGTAATTTAAAGGGGTAAAGCACTAGTGTTTTTTTCCCACTGGTAGCCATACAAAACATTATTCCTAAGCATAACAATTCCTGCTACTTTACAGTAATGTGTCCTGGTAAGTGTTGTAATATAGCCAAATAAACAAAGTTATGGGTCTTAAACTAACAGGAAAACAGGGCTGTCTTTCGAGGCTGCAAAATCTGTTTACTAAGAAATGCTCACATCTACACACATACCTTGGCAGTAAATGGCAACCTACATTCATTTTAGTAGTTCTTGGTCATTTGTTCAAAATTTCTAGAGTATAGAAGAGATAAAAATAGGCACTAATGGCACTGTATGTTTCAAGAGGTTTTGATACAAGGATCGTCTGACTTACAGTAAGTAATTATTCTACCTCTAATAACACAAATTAATTAGTCATATTCAACTGACCTAGTAAATTTAAATTATTCCTATATACCGGTAGTCATGTAATACTGTCCACTTAACCCTTTGTAGGAGAGCAGCGCACTCAGGTATTTTATTCTGGAACAACGCCAGGGTTAAATATGTTTATCAGTAAAATTAGCTAAAGGAATCGAGAATATCACCACATAATATTTTGCATCGATAAATTTTTAAATTTTTCTTCTATAAGTCATCATAGAAAACATATGGAGACTGAGGAACGGAATACTGTACAGTATCTGTACTGTCATGGCAATAACACTGGGTCACATGATGCTTTATACAATCACTTCCAGGGTATTTAATAACTCCACTGTGAGGTATCCTACACCCTTATTTAGATATCACTGTGAAGCTTGGTATTTCTACTTCATTACACCAAATATTTTCAAAACAGCTTTTCTGCAATTAATGCAACATTCTAGGTAGTAATAAAGCTTTACTTGTTACAGATATGACACTGCCGTTACCTTAAGCTGTTGGTTTTCGGTTGAGAGAGTGGCAATCTCTTCTCCATGGTGAACAGAGATGTCCTCCACCTCATGCTTGTGTCGCTGCCTCTCCTCTTCCATGTGAACCTTCATCTCTTCCATGAGATTTCGCCGACTTTCAGCCAACTGAACAATACAGAGCATAATTTGAATTGCTGATACAGTATTTGACAAATAAATAAAAAAGTGGAGAAGATATCATACACAATAACAAAGTTAAAGGGAGAATATTGCATCCATGTCCATTTATTGATAGTCTTGATATGGGACATCCAGTAAGCCCCTACTCTTACTAAAATAAAAGCTCTTTTCACTCTATTCTGGGTCACACTAAAATAAAATTCAACACAGAAACAGGCATTAAAATTTGGCAATAAAAATTTGCCTTTAGACACTGAGATATATAGTTGTGAGATAGGGTTCCCTTTGACACAACTTGGGCTATACCAAAACTCATAGGATGTACACAAACTCTTACATAAATAGACTAAACAAGATTATGTGATTGAATTAATAACACTACACATTGTGTGACTCAGCCAACTAAAACCAGAAGTGCTACAATACTGAGGTGACAGCACTACCTAATCTCTAAGAAACAAGGTCTGAACAAACATTTGAACCAGGAGAGAAATTGCTGGGAAATGAATGGATTGAAGCCTGTAATATATACTGTACAATAAGGTCAATAAAGCATGGGTGAGGTAATAATAATAATAATAATAATAATAATTAACAATAATTAACGGTTTATTGAAAGAGCTTGGCAGCCAGAAGGCTGTGTAATTTCACAACTCATTAGCCTTTTATTTTAAATGCTGGATGGTGTTACTAGGATTTTGGGTTACCTGCATTTCCAAACCATAAATTTAGTGATTACTTTTACACAAGTCGCTTAATGGGAGGTTGTTTGGTTTTCAGCTAAATGGACTAATCACAATGACATCTAAGCTGATTCAAAGTGTTTCTGGAACTAAATCTTCATTTGTTTGGTGACAGAAAAATTACAAACCTTGGTTAACCCTTTCACCGCATGTCACGCACTTGCCTTTTTATTCAGCTAAGGGTAACCTCCCACTGTGAAAGGGTTAATATCTAAACATATTGTAATCATCACTCACAGTCATGCATATACATATTTAGAAAAACAAAAACAAAAGAGATATTACCTTTGTTTGCTCCACCAATTCCATTTGCTGGGACTCCCACTTTACATTTAGCTCAGTAACTTGTTGTTGAAACTCTCTTTTCTCCCTCTCCAATGTATCATTCTCTCCTAACAAATGAGCAACTTCGTCTGTCAAAGTTTGTACTTTCACCTGAGTATCTGAAAAGAGGGACCCTGAATCAGTGATTCATTATGGGTAAAATAACACAAGCATTTTCCAGTTATATAGTAGTCACGACTCAAGAACATATGTATATCTCGGCCTACAAGACGGAATTTGAAGAAAAAAAAAATCAGCCCAAAGTTAGGGGGTCGTCTTAAGCACCAGAGATAAAATTCTTACCTCTTAAATTTTGCGGTTTAGCGTGTCAAGAGTGGTGATGGAAACATGGTAAACCACTCACAAGGTCCTACCACCAATTATTTTATACTGAAACTTACATTTGGGAAGCTGGATTAAAATGAAGATTACCGGTATATTAAAATAATAAAAACGTATTATAAACCAGTCTAACATACCGTAAAAGAACAATATACCCCGGTAATAAACACAGCTGCTATCATCACCCCCCCCCCCATTTGCCAGTGACGAGAAAGGGAAAGCGACCTTGACAGTGACCGCCTGTGGCTATTTTTGGCCGTCCTTGTGTTCGGAGGTGGTCAGTAATGCATATCTGTATATTTACTGATCATAATACTTATCTCCTATAAATAATTAATTTAAAATTAATTTTTTTGCAAAGAATATTCAGTAAATGACTGCGTTAATTCTTGAAACTACCGACAGTGGTAAATTTAGGATGAGAATGATTAACAGAAGTCATGTCATGGATTCGGAGTTTGGTCCTTAATGATCATAAATGTCTGGTCAACTTCACCTACCAGGTATAATGGTAGCTTCCCTTTTTCGCAAAACAAGTATATAAATTAAAGAAAATACTTGCAGTGTGTTTAATGTATTACAATATATTATAACTACCGGTAAATAAATAAACAAATAAATCGGCAAATCTATTTCAAGTAAATGGAAATATTTTACTCACACCAACATTAGTTCCAGTTAAATAACTGACGCTTAAGTGAGTCACTAGTGTACACCAGCGGGTAAAATTTGATGCCAATACTTGAAGTGAATTGGCATTATTTTAAATAACCAACCATAAATAAATGGAAAAAAGATCAAAGGTGAAACATTATATTGTATGTATGTTGTGTTGTCAAAGGAAGAGAAACAATTGAAACTCTGCAATTGTGTGTAAATGAGGCAGTAAGATAAATCAGCAACCTAAGACTTGGTCAAAATTTTCGTGATGCCATATGGAAGTAGGATCTACCATTAGACAATACTGTACATTATGCTTCCAATATCTTCCCAGGCAGTAGAATCTCCCTGTTTGGTAGCTGCCTAAAACTTTTAGTAATATTACTTTGATACAACATGATAAATTAGACAAACAATGAAAATAAACAAACAAAAGTTATTTACCAAGACCTTCTCTCTCAGAACAGAGGGGAGATAAGACGGCTATTTATAGCCCATCTTTGTGTAGGAAGTCGACCACACTAGAAATAATTCATTTAAAATTTATATTTTTTACATAGAATATTCAGTACATGACTGCAATTATAAAATATTGTGAATATATATATATATATATATATATATATATATATATATATATATATATATATATATATATATATATATATATATATATATATATATATATATATATATATATACATATATATATATATATATATATATATATATTTGTGTAATAAATGTATGTAGTAAGTATGTACAGTAATCTTTTTCACTCAAATCCTAATGAAACACTATTGAATTAGAATACTGTAGCTCGCTGAAGCAAGCTTATAAATTAAAGAAAATACTTCCAGTGTGTTTAATATATTACAGTATGATATAAATAAACAAATAAATCGGTAAATCCATTTTAAGTAAATGAAACAATTGTATTCGACACCGACATTAGTTCAAGTTAAATAACAAACTTTTAAGTGAGTCACTAGTGTTTACACTACACCAACCGGTAAAATTTGATGCCATTACTTGAAGTGAATTGGCTTTATTTTAAAAAACCAAGGATGTGTAAACAGCACTGGTCAATGGGATGGTTGGTAAAGGACTACTGGGTCAGTAAGCTCCCAATGGTAAGTGTCACATTTGGGGTACCGGTCTTATACAGCAAATAGGGCTCAAAAGCTACTTTTTAAATGGAAATTTTGGGGGCCGTCTTATACACCCCGTCGCCTTGTAGGCCGAGATATACGGTACAGTAGAGTAACTTTCATCGAATATTTTAATTTTCAATCTGTGATTCACCAATCTGCAATCAGTAAATTGTGGTACAACATGTGCATGACTTGCATGATCCTGTACCCTCCAGGGCATAAAATAATTAAAAACATTTGAAAATAATAAAACACTGTAAAGCATCTAAACATACCTTTTCAGAGAAAATTCTGACACCTATAAATAAATATAATGGTTGCCCCTCGTGAAACGTGGATGGCCGGCCCAAGGGCCACCTAGGCGTGAATTTGTTTAAGGTGTAGAAGCTGTCGCCAACACAACAATCACACCCTGAGTTAACGAGTTGCATGACCCAGTGTCAAGGAATAGTCCGAGAAGACCAGACAACTCTCCAACTGCACTGGCTAACCATTACCCCGGAAAACGATCTGCAAATCGATTAATATCCAGGTCCCCAATTACTGCTGGGTAGACAGAGGCAAATGGCATAAAGAAACTTGCCCATAGTTTCACCCTGCCTGGGAATTGAACCCGGGTCAGTTTGCTTGCGAGGCGAGCATGCTGACCTTTCCACCACAGGTCGGTACACACATCACACACCTACACGTAGATAGGGATTCAACCTTTAAGTATATATTGCATAAACTATACTACATTAAGCTGTTATATGATGTACATACTGTAATTACCAGCTGGAACCAATGCTGGGAAGCTGTATCATATGTGGGTTACCTGGCAACCACAGCCTTCTGGCAGAACAGTCAAAAGACCCTGGGAACTAGTGATTGAGAAACGAATTGAAGTCATAAAATAACTTTGAGAGCCCATCAAATGACAGCTTGAGGTAAGCCTAAGACCTAAAGGACTTTATGTATGGTTGCACAGAACCCACAGCATGTATTCTGACAAAAGATGATAAACGTAACATAGATAACACAAAAGCATTAAGCCAAGGAGGCTGGCAAACACTCAGGATCAGGTAAAACATGAACAAAAGAAAATCCTGGCCTGGCTCCCCCAATATACAGTACCCCAAAATTCAAAAAGCATGAAAAAAAGTTACTGAAACCTTAGAAAATGAAAAACGATACACAGATTGCTACACCAGGTCTAGATGAAGTGGACGTGATCCAAGGGTTGGGGTATACTGCTGCACCTCTCGCACCTCAAGGTGATATACGGCCCCTCCAAGACATACACATTTGATATTTGAGAATGTTCTATATATTTTGTTGCTCAATAAGCCTGATTCATGCATATTTTAGGCCACTGCATACTACCAAAAAAAAATAGAACTGATTCAAACATCACCCAACTACTATAAGAGTAGAGTACCTATTATTCCTTACAAGTTGGTCAAAATCACCAAGTTGATACTGTACCTTGAAGTTCCTTTTCTTTTCCTATGATGAGATTCTCTGAAGCTTCCAGCTTTTGCTTCATCTGTTCAGAAGACTGTACAAGAGACTCATTCTGGGCCACTTTCTCGGTGAGGTTCAATTCAGACTTTTCTAAAGCTGTCTGTGTTTCTTCTAAGGATGTGCGCATGGTCACTAAATTTGCCCTGCAATAATTCAAAAAGAGCAAGATGTGTTAATAAACGGAGTATAAAAAGTGAAGACAATATGATTCTATTTGAGGCAGAAGAAGTAAAAGAAAGATAGGCAGAGTATGGAAAAGCACTGTACTGTATTGTATAGCAACAGAATGGAGGTAAAAAATGAAATGGAAACAAGTTCAAGCTACCAACATAATTTGAGGCAGCTATGAGCAAATTAAAGAATAATATAATTTAGGGGGTTGACCACCTTCCAGCAAAATTTCTAAAATAAATGGGCTGGAATGGGATTAAATGTTTGAATATGCACCAACATCTACTACATAGAAGACCTTACCAGCAAAAAATAATAATTAAAAAATAAATAAATAATAATGAAAGCCAGAGAGTGCATCCAGTTTAAGACAATTAGTTAAGCCCTTGTGTATGGGCTCCCCTCTGAGCAGAATAAAATCATCTGATATCAACCAAATAAAATATTAAAAGTGGCATCCTGTAGTGAAGGGGTTAAAAAGCTGTGCAAGCAAAGTTAAATTACATATAAAACTAAAACAGACCACAATATGTATCTGATAATTGGAATAGATTTAGAAAGGAACAGAAACTAAGAGAGGTCTCAATGGACTGATAATTTTAAGTAACAGGATTTGGAGGTTCACAGTGCCATGTTTCCCTCTTTTGTGAATTTGCAAAAACCTTTTGTTAGAGAATAACATAATAAACTAAAAGATATATCAGAAAAATAAACATCAATAATGAAAACATCAGAATTCTACAATAATCTTTAATGGTTCAGGCAGTTAGACAAGACTATGTGCTATGTCCAACATCACTGGTCCCCAACCTGCATGGTGCCGCAGAACCATATTATGGAGCCTACGAGGGTTTATTAGAAAATTGTGAGTTACTTGGTATTCTTTGTAAGAGTGAAATTAATGAAGATATGTAATAACTTGATACAACTGTCGTGTACAGGACGTGTGTACTTACCCCAGACAGGGCCCAGAGAGAGCCAGCCTTCTCACTGGGGATACACATGTTCTGTTCAAGACTAAATGTAAAAGTATGTAACTGGTAACTGTTAAATGTGTAAAACTGCAAATAACTGTACAGTATACATGAGAATTTTTTACTTGAATGTAAATCCAAAGTTTTGGTGTCCTCCACTATGTTTATGACGATAAATGTGGCCCAGAGCCTACAAAAGGTTGGGGACCACTGTCCAACATTATGTAACATTCGATCACTCTGACTGATGATAAGATGAAATGAGTGATGAAGGAACAAAGAGAACTTTATATCAAACCTTCAGTAAGGCCGATAAAGTAGAGGCAACACAAAAACCAGTCAACAGATTAAATTAGTAAACAAAAATCCAAAGAACATGGGCTTAGATTATTGCTGTAAAAATGAATACACAGACAATGACCGTTATACAATACAATGGATCTACTGTAAATACACTAGATCAGTCTTGGAGACTTAAGAAATTTTTATTCACTTTATGTTTTTGACCTCATGATAATTATTAAAGCAAATTTCTTTGCACATTCAGTATGAACGATTGCAAGTTCAAAAATAACAATAACACAGCTCACAGCTTGACAGGAGGCTGAGATACCAACATCTCACCCCCCTCTCACTCCCATGATGCACATTAACTCACGGGGACATTGTTTATTCTCTTAATATTTTGGACCTTATAAATAAATAAATAAATCACATTCTGTATGAAAAGTTGTGTGTGCACGTAACAGTAAAAAAATTAAATAAAAATACAAATGAGGGAATTACATACTGTATGTGTACCTCGCTCTATGATAAGTCCAGTGCACACAAGAAATATTTATTTCCTTTATGAATTGGACCTTATAATGTACATACTGTATACAGTGGTCCCTCGGTTAACGAGCACAATCCGTTCCAGCAGGTTGCTCGTTAACCGAAAAACTCGTTAACCGAAACCATTGTTTCAATGGGTTTTTGGGTAATTGGTTCCAGCTCACCGAAAATTTCCTAAAATCAACAAAAAAGGTAGAAAAGTACACTTACTTTGAAGTGTGTATGTAGAAGGCTCCTTGATGATGATGATGGGAATAAGAATGGGGGTGGAGGAGGAGGAAGAAGAGAAGGCATTGGGGTGGAAGAGAAGTCACCCCATGGCACCATTTCACCCATAAAATTTTAGTTCTCTTGGTGTATTTCAAGATTATTTTCTTTAAATCAACACTGCACTGCATTATATATTGTCAATATGTAAAATATATTTCAAAATGACCAATAATTTGCTTGGAAACACAGAAAAAAAGCATTTAGTTGAAGAGAGTCTCAAGCAAGATGTTACCTCCACTGAAAACAGAGAGAGACTAACGCCTGTCTGGTGTGTTAACAGGCTGGATGGCACGCCAGAAACTAGTTTCTTTACCTTCAATTATGTTCAATAATTGTTAAAATGACTAAAAAAGTTAATATTAAACTTTTAAAATTATTGAATAGTATAAACTTCTTGATATTTACTAAAATAGTAAGGAATTTAAGCCCTAAAACCGATTACTGTATTGGCGGACTAATACTACAGCTGGTGGACCGCCAAATGCAAGCGAAAACATGTTGAAGTCGGCTCGTAAAAAACTTGTTAATCGAGGGATTGCTCGTTAACCGAAGTTAAGAATCTTACGGAAGGTAAATAGTTAACCGAAATCTCGTTAACCGAGGCGCTCGTTAACCGAGGGACCACTGTATATATATTTTTTGGCACATTCTTTATGAAAGATTTTGGGTGAATGTAACAAAGTTAAAAAATGAAGAAATTACTTATGTCTTCCTGAAATTTCTTTTAGTAACAGCTGGGGAATTGCAACTTACTACTGTACAGAGTAAATATACATATCATGTAAGTTAAGGGAAAATAAATATTTTGTATAAATTCATTGATTTTATGTACAGTTGAATCTCGATTTACGCGGTTCTTGTTTACGCGTTTGGTCATTTACGCGGTTTTTGTTTACGCGTTTGGTCATTTATGCGGTACCTTGCCAGAACCGGGATGCCCGATTTACGCGGTGAATTTACTCATTTACGCGGGTGAAGTATAATTTGTTTATTTACTGAAGATATATATGTTCTTAGCTCATAAAATATATAATTTACATTGCTGGAATCCTTACAAGATGGAGATCATTTTAAATATAAACATCTTAACATTTGCATGAGACATACAAATTTTAGATGTAATTTAAGGAGATCATGAAAAAAAGCAAATATTTTATCTTTTGTGCAAAATATATGAAGTCTACATTCAAAATATTCCCTGACCTGCAAGGAATCCAGAAATGTCAATTATATTATCCTAACTTTAGTCTGAGGTATTATTTATTAATAGAAATGTAAATATACAGTAATACCCGGATTTACACGGACAATTGAACCGACAGAGGTCAGTGGAAAACGAGAAATGCGTAAATGGAATAACAGAACATATAGGATTAATTGAAATAGAGACTGGGCCAACTCCCAAACATCACTTTTTCCGACACAATACCTATGTTCTAGTAAAAATAACATCTTAATTTTATGATGGTACGCACACACAATTAGTATTTAAGAGAAATACAGTTGCCAGGTTAATGTCCATTCAAATAATGGACTCAACTCCCCCCCCTTCTTTCCCACGCCGCTGGCTCCTCCTCTCTGAGAAATGTTTGGGTGAAAACACTAGGATTTTACAAGGTATAGTAATAAATAATAGCTCAACCAGTTAGGATAATATTATTGACATTAAGAACATAAGAATATAAGAATGTAGGAACGTAGGGCCTATTGGCCCATAATACTGACAGTCCCGCTTACACCCAACCCTATTGCTCATATGAGCATCCAACCTATGTTTGAAGCAATTCAGCGATTCGAAGTTAATGATGATATTTGCAACTTGTTCCCATTCATCCACTACTCTGTTTCCAAACCAGTGTTTACCTATTTCACGCCTCTAAACTAAATTTGTCTAATTTAAAACCATTGTTACGAAGTTCGCCCTGGTTGGATAGTTTGAGTACCTTTCTAATGTCTCCCTTTGTTTAGCCCCTGCCTAATTTATACACACTCCCCATCAGGTCGCCTCGCTTCTACGCCTCTTCAAGGAGTGCAATTAAGATGCTTTAACCTGTCTCTATACTGCTGTCTTAATGTCCGGATTAGTCTTGTCATTCTCCTCTGAATTCTTTCCAAGGATTCTATATCCATTCTAACACGGTGACCAGAACTTTTGAACTAGCGTGAATCCAGGTGTGGTCTCACAAGAGCAAGATACAGTTTTTAGGGATGACCTCGCCATCTTTGTAACTAACACTCTCTTTGTATGAAACCCAAGTAATTTTTTATTAGCCTTTGTTACGCAGCAAAACACATTGTTTACTTGGCTTAAGGTTCCCTATTTCTTATCATTACTCCTAAATCTCTCGCAGTCGGATTTCTGGCGGCATCGCTGTTCATCTGGCATTCAAGTTTCCCTGTTTACATCTCCTATACTGAGTACTTTACATTTGTCGACGTTGAATTTCATCTGCCATTTTTCAGACCATTCGAAAAATTTGTTTAGATCTTCCTGTAGTTTTGCCGAGTCCTCATCAGATTTGATAACACGTCTATTTTAGTGTCATCAACAAATTTACTTATGTTGCTGTCAATGCCGATATCTATGTCGTTTATGTATACAGTCAACCCTCACTTTACGCGGTTAATGTAACCCACAGGGTACCGCGGAAAGTGAGAAACGCGTAAAGTGAATAACATAACATATGGGATTAAATGAAATAGAGACCAGCTGACCCCCAAACTCCACTTTTTCCAACACAATACCTATGTTCTAGTAAAAATAACATCTTAATTTTATGATGGTACATGCACACAATTAATACTTAAGAGAAATAGAGAAATACAGTCGCCAAGTTAATGTCCATTCAAATAATGGACTCCACTCCCTCCCCCTCTTCTCACAGTACACTCAC